AGACCAGGCCATTAGTAGCCACTTCTGACTGAACTAATGGGATCAAGGACAAAGCTACATAGACCATTACCTCGGCTCATAGCTTGGCCCATAGCTCGGTCCACTTCAACATCTGGACTTAGCTCGGCCCAAGTTACTCATAAATTACCCTCTCAGTTTCCTCCTTGATGAATATTTATTATTTCTTGCCTGATTTTACTTAGCTATTAAGTTTGTTTCCCAAAAATACTGTGAATGCTTGATAAAAAAACGATCTTTCTCACAATTCTATCGAGACTAAGTTGCTTCTAAAATATCTTGGCAATCAACTCTTAATATCTCAGTTTCCTTAATTATGATATTTTTATAAGTTATCATGACCTATTAATTTGGTTACTTGGTAATTGCTTTATAATATTTTGTTTTCATTGTTATTTTTAATTATTTCTCTATAATTATTTGGCTTTCTTCTTGATGAATATATATTATTTATTGATTTATTTTACTTTATCTACCTATTTGTTTGCCAATAAATCGTCGGCACAAAATTTATTGCTTTTGCATCTCAATGATTGATGGTAAAAATACGGACATCTTTCTTGCAATCTCCATCGAAACTAAGTTCCTCTCAAATTTCTTGACAATCAAAATTATAATTATAATTATAAATTTAAATTTATTTATTTATTTTTGATAATTTTTCTCTCATTATTTGGTTTTCTTTTTGATGAATATGTATTATATCTTGCTTGATTTTACTTTGTTCTATTAGTTTGCTTGCCAAGAAATATTGGGAACAAAATTCGTTGCTTTTGGGTCTCAATACTTGATGTTAAAAAAACGGACATCATTCTCACAATCTCCATTGGGACTAGGGGTTTTTTGGAATGATCTAAATAAGTGCACTTTTTGAATTTTTGTGAAATATGGGTCGGGTATGGGTTGGGTTGGGTTTGGAGTGATGTAATAGAGAGGTGATGTGACTTAAATAAGATAATATGACGTAAATAGGATAGCGACTTTTTAACTTTTTAACTTTTTTTGGCAATCAAATTTATAAATATTATAACTCTCAATTTTTTTGTTTCCTTAATTATGACAGTTTTATAAGTTCAATGGTTAATGTTAAAAAACGGACATCTTTCTAGCAACCTTCATCGATACTTCCCTCCTCAGATTTTTAGGCAAACATATTTATAATCTTATCTCTCAATTTCTCGGTTTCCTTAATTATGATAGAAGTAAGCCCTATAATTTCTGTCCATTGTAGCCCTCCAGGCACCAGAAAGATAAATAAAATAGATGAAAATTGAAAATTCACTTCTGGTTTTTAGTGGTGTGAATAAAATTTCACTAGATAGAATAACAGAGACCAGACAGATTCATACATTTATTTATTACACATCATTTCTCCTAGAAAATTCTCAATAAATATTTCATCTTTGTTTAGTGTCATTGCCAAGTTGCACTTGGCACAGTAGTTTCATCATAAGAGGTACCCCCTTGTAAACAATTATTTAAGATGTCAATTATTATTTTTTTGTTAGGAATAGATTCTGTTTGATAAAATTATGTATTATGTCTGCTATGGTTCACTAATATACAGTATATAAAGTAAACAGAGAGCTTGAGCTGTGGCATTCACATGCAAGCTCTGATCTTTTTGGCTTTAATTGATCGAACGTTTTGCAGATAGAGCTGGCACAGGATACTACCACAGATTGGACCCTCAACGGGTACGGGTAAGGTTGCTGGTAGAGCAACAACATACAATTAAAATTGTTCCCAGTATTGTTAGAAGAGCAATGGTTGAGGGCCACAAAAACAGTGATTCAAATGGCCCAAAATTGTCAAAACGACGTCGTTTTTGTTTTGACAATTTTGGACCATTTGAGCCACTGTTTTTGTGGCCCTCAAACATTTTTCTTGTTAGAATGGGTTGTTAGAGTTCATTGCTTTCCATAACCAAACAAAGAAAGTACAAATTCATGGGAAAGTTTTTAAATTTAATTGTTAATATTTAGAAAGTTTCTCATTAATTTACAATTATTTTTTCTCACCCCACTGATGTGACATTTCCCCTATTACTTTTTTTTTTTAATTAGTTATATAATAGACTAGAATTTCATTCACAATTGTCTTGTTTCTGTTTTTACTAATGTTGTTTTTTCCCAGGTTTATGTTCATTTTTTGTTTGCTGCTTTTATTCTCCTTTTCTTCCATGTATGATTGTTTGTATATTTATCTGTCTAAACAGAAGAGTCATCTTTGTTCTGGACATTCTCTTATTTCAATAAATTAGCAACTAAATAATAAAGATATCTGTTAAAAGATCAAAAGTTAAAACATTTTGTCAAAGGCCCAATTCATTTACAAATTATATTTTTCAAAGCTAAAATTTAAATATAAAAAAAAATTAATAGTTAGGCGGTATCATGTTAAAGGTGTGAACTTGGATTTATAAGTTCTTTTTAAGGACTTAATTTTTGATGATTAGGTTAGGCTTGATGTTGGTCTGACTGGACGAGCTTAAAATAACTCATATTTTTATTATATAGTGCAAGTTTGATCCAACTTAATCGATATCCACCACTAATTTCTTGATCATACACACATGTTCTATCCACAGCACATTCCAATTTTCTTTCACAAGTAGGGCTATAAACGAACCGAGCTATTCATAAATAGCTCGAGCTGGGCTCGTTTGAGCTCGACTTGTTTACTAAATGAACGAGCTCGAGCTCGAGCTCGATTTTTTTATTTATGTTTGATGTTTGTGTAAATTTACATATTTGATTGATGAAATTTATTATTAATATAAGTATTATTATATATTTTACTCATAATTTTATATTTTTTTTATCTTAATAAGTAAATTAATTTAAATTTAATTTTTTTTCAAGCTCAAACTCGAACTCGACTCATTTATGTAATCAAGCAAGCTTGTCAGGTTTGAGTTCAACAAACATTTGACGAGCCGAGCTCGAATTCGATTTTTGAAGCTCGACTAGAGCTCGAACTTGATTAATTCTTAATAAACGAGCTTGAACATTCAAAAGCTCAGTTGGACTCGCTCCGTTTACAGCCCTATTCACAAGTCAAAAGTAGTTTAATGCTAAGTGATTTTTGGATTTTATAAAAGACATAAGTTTTTTTTTCTCGCCCACCTAAAGAAAATTTAGTTGTTTACTAGTTAGGTGTTTTATTTTGTTAAGAATTTCTATTTGCTAGCAAATATAATATGTTTAAAATATATCTATTTTTTTTTTCAAGCAATCAAATTTTAGCCGTATAAACAAGAAGAAGATTACCAACCTATCTATTCGAAGCTTAGGGAGGGTCCCTGGCTTCAGAGCATAAACAACACTCTAAAAGTTGACAGAAAAAGTCCACCTGTTAGTCACAAGAAGTCCAAAAAAAAACTCTTACCATAGCAGACCTCACAATTTGTTAAAAATAAAATAAAAATAAAAAATGGCATTTTAATTTGATGAGAAGAAAAATAACGAATAACACGTAAATCGATCACAAAATTGAACATTAATGGTGATGGCCATGGTGGTGGTAAGGTAAGGTATGACCTCAAGTGTTTAACTGTGTTGTGATGGTGGTGGTGCTTGATTTAGCCCTTGTTTGGGAATATTTAACTTTTAACTTTTAGCCTAAAAATAAAAGTCAGTAAAAATATTTAAAATATTAATAAAAATTTATCTCTATTTTTATTTTATTTTTTTGGGTACATTTTTTCATTAAAAAAAAAAAATCAGAAAAGTAATCTCAAACATTTATGCTGTGTATGGTTATGTGTTCTAAACACAGTTCCACCCATTCATTTGAGTGTGGTATATTTTTTTTGAGCTTTCAATTTATAATTTCACATCTACTTTTGAAAACTCCTTTCTAGTGAGAAAATTATGTTCGATTTTTTTTTTTTTTCCTTCCTTGGTCACATGTTACTTTTATATTTTAAATAAAAAAATATTTTCAGATTTTTTTTAATTTTTATACGAGTTTTAAATAGAATTTTAAATTATGTGTTTGATTATAAGTTGTAAATTTTTTAATCAAATAAATTTTTAATTTCAAAAACTCAAAACTCCTTCCAAAACTCAATTCAAAACTTTTTTCACAACTCATAACCAAACAAATTTTCCACACTCAAATTATAATTCTAAAATTCACAAACTCAAAATACAACTATATTCTCAAATCATATTTAAAAAAATTTACCAAACACAAGCTTAGCTTTTTTCCTCATATTATAACTAAAAAACTAAAAAAAGATGAGGAAGGAAAAGAGGAAGAGAAAGGAGTTTCCCTATAAAAGCACGAGGTTTTCATCTGTACTTGTCCAAGAGCTAAAATAGGGAGATCTGCAATTACCCAGAGGAATAGCAGATTATAAATTACAATCTCCAGATTGAACCTAAAAATCATGTGCAAGCAAGCAATGGTCTTTCAATGCTAAATCACTTTGAAACAATTATCACACCTAAGCAGCATTTTCCTCCCGCCACAAAGACCAGAGAGAGAGTGAGAGTGAGAGAGAGAGAGAGATCCTTCACACACAGAGCACAAACAAATCCAAATTAACAAGTGAAGATCCAGCTAATTTTGTCAAAACCTGTAGGATTGGGGAAAGTCTTTCCAAAACTAAACCTGGTCATGCATTTTATTGAGTGCAGAATGCAAAAAGGCCATCCACAATCATCAGTTCACTACCGTGTTAAAAAAACAAAAGAGGATACCAATTAAAATGCATGAAAAAATTATTTATTAACCAATTCCCGGGAGTCCATAAGAGCGAGACTGCTGAATATACTTCACTATATAGGTGCGCGATAATAAACAAACATAGATCATAGCCAATAACATACAGCAAACAAGTTGAAGTACCCAACTACTTGGGTGAAATGAAATGACGCAGCAACACAAGTAAAGCACTTCCAGGCAACTGAAGATGGGGAAGACCTGAACCCTGAATATCATATATCAACATGAGGCAAAAATAAAGCTCGGAATTAATGATCACTTTCACAAATAAATTCTTAGAAAAATATATTGGATTTAATATGTCCATTTTAAGAAAAATCATAGACCCAAAATCAGTAAACAAAATTTCAACAGAGCATAACTGGGAAAAACTACCAAACAACCCCAATGGGTTGATAGATTCAACAGCTGAAAGTCATAAGCTAGGTCTAAAAACAGTGAAGTCAAGTCAAGCCAAGCAAAATAGATAATGAGGTAAACAGGGATTTATCATCACTCTTCATCTTCCCCTTCATTCTCCGCAATGTTGAAGTACCGCAGCTCGTAAACATTCCGGTCTTTGTTGGAAGCAATTACACGAAGCCAATCCCTCACATTGTTCTTCTTCAAGTACTTCTTTATCAAGTATTTAAGATATCTGTAAAATATATAGACACGTGGTAATTAATAAAGGGTCATGCTAACCCGCATTAAAGTGACGACAATCCTTTGAACAGTCATTAGCAGTTTCTATTAACAACATGTAGAGTTCAAGTATCAAAAAAACATAGGTCAAGCGATAAAGATTTCCAAGGACAGACATCTTTCTTTATACAAATACCAATTTTTTTAGGGCAGACTTGGAACAACCAAAAAACTAATCCAAGCAATGTCCCAGAAAACAATGGTGAACAACTACCATCCTTTGGTTAAACCAAAGATCCTTGGACACAAGTTTAAATTATAGATGCTGACATACGAAGCAGTCATACCAATATATGTTATCAATAGATGCTGATAGTTTAATTCACTCGTTAAGCATAAATTATGTCATGCAGCAACTGCCAAGTATACCAATAAAATAATACCATCCAGATTCATCATGTTTCTTCAGCTACCAAAGGGGTTGCTTCATTGCAGACCAAGTCATATGCAAACCAATATAAAATGCCTAGCATTTTCTAGTTCAGCATTTGAATGCAAAGAACAATCATATAACTTGCGCTGGTTGGTAGCAGTCAAATAAAGAAGAAACAAATGCAACATTGACATGGGTACATATTAGAAGATGGATTTTTTTTTTCCCGGTCTGTCCGCTTTCTCTTGGACAAATTTAGAAACACACTAATCAATTTGAAAGAAATACACAATCACATAACTTCATGAAACAAGCTTCATATTTTAAGCTCTTAAAAATTTATCCCTAAACACCCCGAAATAACAAAATTTGTAATTCTTTTCACAAATGTGAAATATTTTGCATTGAAACAAACTGATCCCTAATAAAAATACATATATGATTGTCTCTTGTTTCCCCACTTCTTTTATACTGTTCCCTTTATGACATTGAAATTGCTGGTGACGATTCTTTACCATATATTTTGTATAAATTTCTCAACTTTTTATGTTTATAATTAGCTCAATAAGTTTTTATCATCTCATTATTGTTCATTAAAATAAACGTTCTCGAGATTGTGATTAACAATAAATTGATTCGTATAATGTTTCAAATAACAAACAAGAAAAAGATTTGTAGGAGTGAGTAGTACCGTTTGGAGAAGTTGTCGGTGGAGGTGACGGTGATCTTGCTCTTTTCACGAGTGACGGTGACGGAGTCTCCGAGAGCACCGGCCTTGCCGCCGACCTTGATTCTTTCCTGGAGGAACTTTTCCAGTGATGCGATCTCCATGATCTTATCCTCCACCGGCTTCGCACAGTCAATCACGAACGTCGCTCCCTTCTTCTTCCCCTTCGCTCCAGCTGCTGCTCCTCGACTCATCTTCGCGACTCTGCAAATTCAAGATCATCAAAACAACAAATCGTCGTCAGATCTATAAATGGAAACAGCGTTAGAGAGAGAGAGAGGAGATTGAGGGATGTACCGGTTGGGATGGTGAAATGGCTCGGGAGATTGCTGGACTCTGGATGTGAAACCCTAGAATGGGAAGTGGCAGAGAGAGAGAACAATATATGAGATGAGGTTAGGGTTTTCTCTATGGGCATTTTAGGGTTTTGATGGGTTGGTGAGTTGGCCCGCTGGTGGAATCGGACGAGTCGTAAATTGGGTTGAGTTCTAATTGGATTATTATGTGGGCCTTTGTCGAGCTTTGTTGCCCAATTCTGGGCTATTGGGCCTCCTAAATCAATGATCTCAAGCCCGGCCTTGAGAAATTTTTTGGTTGATCTGAAAACCTTTGTTTAGATGCATCTAAAAAAAATTGAAAAATGGCTAATATATGAAGAAAAAATTTATTGAAGACAAAAAAAATTAAATCCAGAAAATTTCCGAATTCTTTATGTTTGGAATAAACTTTTCACCAAAAAACAGATTTTAAGATGAAATGAATTTCAAATGAGCCGAACTTGAATAATTTCGTTTTTATTTAGTACATATAATTAAGTTCAATCCTGTAATAAGTCATTTTAATTTAATTTGAAAAATTAATGAGTTTTAAAATGAAAAATACTATAAATACATGAGTTGGTTTGAGAATTGATTTTTTTAATAATTTTTTTTTATCTTTTTATGAAGATATATGCAAAAATATATATATAGATAAGGAATTGATCTTTCGTTAGAGTATCATTATCAAACTCATTAGAGTATTCTCTTAGCTATTTTATAACACAAAATTATAGAAAAACATTCTATCAAACTCAATTAATGGCTAACTACTTTAGTTGAATATCAAACCATTAGCTACATGTAGTTAGGAAAAGAGAACTCAACAAATGAAATAAAGAATAGAAAGTTTGACTATTGTGATGGATTTAAAAAGATGGTTAGCTAAAATAAAAAAATAGACTTTTAATTAAAATTTAACTTAAATTTTCACTATTGTGATGGATTTTTAATTAAAATGTTCATTTGCCAAATTAGGCCACAATTTGGTCTACACATGACACAGTAAGAGAGTTACACATTAAATGATAGAATTTGGGACAAGTTAAAAATTAACACATAACTTGTCATGTTATAATGAGAAAATTTGTGGAATTAAATTATGAATCTTAAAAATTTTATGTTTTAATAATTATTTGAACTAAACATATATAATTATTAAATATCAAACCAGCGTTTAATAAGTTGAAGTTTGATTTATTTTACTGTTGTAAATAATTTAACATAATATCGCAGGGGAAAAAAACATTAAAAAAAAATGAAAAGAAAAAGGAAAAAAGCATAAAGGGTAAATTATATTAATTTATTTTGAAATTTGAGAAAAATATAATTAACTTCACACTTTAACTTAATTACATTAATTTATTTCTTAATAATATTAAAATGACTGACATTAATGCAAGTGATGAGTAAATACAAAAATAAATATAAATTTCAATATAAAAAATGCTGATAACATTATTTATGTCATTTATATAACTATTTAATTATTAATAAAAAATAAAATTTTATTGAATATCAAAATATAATGGGTTAATTAAAAAAAAAATCACCGTTTTAAGTGTTTTTCAATTTAAATATTAGAATTTCAATTTCGACAAATTAAATCTTAGAGTTTGATCCGTGCTTCTGGCTCCTCCGTCTATCTCCGTCATATTAAACTAACAGAAATCTAAACAGAATTTCAGATTCAAACCCACATATTCAAACATTTATATCTCCGTCGTAATTCCGTTTCGCCTTATTTTATGTCGTTAAATTCACCTCATGACCTAATTTTCATTTCACTCTTCATACACATTATTCCACATCTTTTTACTTGTCATCGGAGTTCCAAAAATTAATCAAAAATAAAAAAAAATCTATTTGAACAAAATTTTTAAATTTAAATCTACATATTTAAACATTTATACCTGTCTCGTCATAACACTATTTTACCTCGTTAATTTTTATTCCACCCCATCTGCCTTATTCCGCCCCTCGTTTTGGTTCCGGAACTCATTCCGAAACTCTCAGTGGTGAATGAATTTACCCAAACATAAAAGATGATAGTGTGAACAACGTCACTTCTGGAACCAAAACGACGTGGTTTGACGAATGGGTTTTACCAATTTGCTCCATAGAAAACACCAAAATTACATTTGACTACATTGGGAGTGGGGAAGGGGGCAACGATGAGAGGGTAGTAACTTGGAATCAGAGAAATGGAGGGCGAGATCGGCGGCGGCGAGGTACCCTGCTCTTCTCTCGCCGTCGATTCCATCCTACGCATCGGAACGGTAATCTCAAAACTTCTCATCTACACTTTTTCACTTTTTTCTTTGCAACAAATTGACTCATTATGATTGTCCACTTCTTTGTTAAATTTTTTTTTTAATTTGGTAATCACTCACCAAAAACAATATGAATTCTTCTATTTCAGGCCGGTGTGATTTGGGGCCTATGCATAGGTCCCTATGATGCTCACAAGCTAGGTAAAAACTATTTTTAAAAAATCCCTCAATTGTGTTGTGTTTAGTTGAGAGATTTGAGAAGAGATTTGAAAAAAGAAATGAAAAAAGTAGGTGAAATATGAAAAAAAAAATACTTACATTTCACATAATTTCACACACTTTTTCCCTTTCCCTTTCCCTTTCCAAATCCCACTCCAAACGCAACATTAATGTAATGGCCACTAAGGCTGTGTTGGTTCTCATATATTTGGGAAGAGATTTTGAAATCCCACTCCAAACACAACATTAATGTAATGGCCACTAAGGCTGTGTTGGTTCTCATATATTTGGGAAGAGATTTTGAAAGAAAAATGGAAATGGTGCGTGGAATTTAGGTGAAATATAGTTATATTTTACACACATTTCAACTATTTTTTCTCTTTTCTTTTCCAAATCCATGAACCAAACGCAGAGTAAAAGATTTCGAGCAATAATCTCTTGTATCTTTCTATTTCTTGTTCTGTTTTCTTTCAATTACAGGCCTCACCGGCATCACTCGTGCTTCTTTTGTGGTAATTTAAGTTTAGTTTATGTGTTTGTGTTTTTTAAATTGATGTTTTTGGTTGTGTTATTATTGAATTTTTTTGTTGTTTTGAATCTCATTTTGCAGGCTAAGTCAGCTGGTAAATTTGGCTTCCAATGCGGTAATTGAAAGGAAATCACTAGCTTGGTTTAGTATTATTACATGGGATGGGGAGTTATTGATTGTTTCCACTATGTAATTTATCAGTGTTTTTATAACTAGCATCTTAAATTATTTATGTTGTGTTTGAATCCTGAATTTGTGGAGTGATTTGTATACGTAAAGAAAAAGGGAGAAAATAATAAAAATAGCAGCTACTTCATTCATTTTTCCCTTCATATTTATTTCCCCTTTGCAAAATCAATCCAAAAATCAAAGATCCAAACACAGCCTTGGAACTGTTTTGTTGAACCTCCATTTACCTGCTTAAATGTTATCGTACATTCTTTTTAATGGGTAATCATGGGTTATGGCATATACATTTTGATGTTGGACTTCTGATTTAATTCCATTGAGCCCCCATCTGCATAGTGTTGTCATGTTCGGTACGCATCATCTATTGACTTAAAATTGCTTGTATTAGGATATACAGCTAGAAAAAGGCGATAACAGTAACTTTGCATAACATTTGCTGTTTTCATCTCATTTTTTAGGTCAATAGGGTGCTCCCCTTCCTGGCACTATCTTAATAATTTATAAATATAGGATAATGGGCTCTCTTGAAGCATTGGATTTGCTAATGCTTTTATTCATTCATTATAGAATATATGGAAAATAGTATTATATGCACCAAATCAGTGCTTGATTTTTAACACAGCTAGCAATCATATTCTTACGTTTTGCATTATTCATCATTTTCAACTACCATATATTTATTCTTTTTTGCTTTTGACTCAACCTTGTATCTCTTATTTCCCGTGCTTACTGTCATTGACTAAACTAATCTCTTATGTTTCTTGTCACCTATTTTGGTGGTGGATGCAGTATTTTCTTTTTGCCTTCAACTTAATTCAATCTTACAATATTCTTCAAATGCTCTTATTCTTGAAGGACTATTTGCTGGAATGTTTTCTATTACTCGTTGTGGGGTTCAGAGATATCGGAAGAAGAATGATTGGGTTAGTGGCATTCTTTTCTTTCCAATTGTAATTGTTTTATAGCATTGACGTAAATTTCATGCTTAACAATATGATGCCTTGAGTTCCATGTTCCTCGACTCGAGTACCTTATCTGGTCCTAGATGCAACAGATTGTACTGGCCCTCTTCTTCTGATTGAATAGAAGGTAATTTCTGAATGAGAAAGAATGTTGAATATCTGATTTTAGAGATCTAATAGGGGGCTGAATGTGAAACACATGGTGAATGTCCCATTTGTATTACGAGGGTTCTTGATAGTAGCTCTATTATTAAACCAGCCATCCAGATTATCTTTTGTTTCATGATATATGAAAGAGCTTCCAGTCTTTATGCATTCTGGGAAGAAATCTAGAGTTTGGAAATCAACACTTAAAATCTTTTGGATTCCTTTTCTTTTGAAGGATCCTTCCTTTTTTTTTGAATAAGCAAGTCATATTATAACCAAAAAAGAAAGATATACAATGAATTTCAATACACATCTTTTGTAGGGAGAATAAACATAAACAAAAATAAACTACTCCCTCAAAAGAACAAACTAAGCCTATAGACGACAAACACAACATACACAACAAAGGATTCAAAATTTTTCTCTACCACTCTTCAAGTAATGAAGTTTCGCTTTGAGTTTTCTTCTGTTATCCTCCTTTGTAGTCTCCCCATTAATGGGATCACTTACAGATGGACTCCCTCTACTTTTTAGGCTCTTCGTTTGACACAACAACTCTTGATTTAATTCTCCATTCCCCAACTCTCCCATATCACATGATGAAGGATCCTTCCATTTGTCCTCTATGTATGGTAGGAGACATATTATGATTTCAGACCATGGAATAGACCTCTATTTGGATTGTCGTGTAACATTTCTCTTAACCAACATTGAATTATGTGCTGTTCATTGAACATCAATTACAAATTGTGAAAATAGATGTATAAAAGAAATAGAGAATTGTATTATTGATTGATTTGTGTGATTGATGTGTATCTATTACAATTACAAGGATTCCTATTATATAGGAGTGTGTTTGGGAGTAGGTGGAGAGTAGGTGAAGTGGAGGTGGTAGTGGTGTAGTGGGTTAGGTTTAGTGGAGTAGGTGAGGTGGTAGTGGTGGTAGGTTTATGGTAAATTCTAACACAAATCTTGCCAGAGCCATTAGATAGAAAATAGACATTCAATTTTTGCTGGCTATTTATTTTGGAGAATTTGTAGTAGGAGCATCAAGAATGTAGTTGTAATTTGGAGCACTGAAACTTGAAATCATTCTTTGGACAATGGCATGGAGCTGTAATGAATATTGGTCGTGGGGCCTCCTTTGAGGATCAAACGCCACCATGGCCCTGCAAGGGGGACACTCCAGGGAGTGATTGTGGACATAAAAAGGTGAGGGTACAAGGAAGCATGGAACTAAAATAGGATACAACCCCTTGATTTGTCCTTGAAATGTGGTACATCTAAAAGAATGGATTTCTGACAAAGATCGCCTGTAGCAAGATTGAACACATCTTTTTGGATTTTGGACCATTTATTATTCCAAAAATTCTTTTTTCATACTAGTTTTTTTATAAAGTTTTTGAGGAAGTAGATTTCATTTTTGGAATTTCTCTTTATGTAAATTTGTGTAGAATTAGTTCTTTAGTGGAGAAATTTAATTTTTACAGGCCTATGAAATGTTACCTTGATATGCTTTTGATTTTTTCTAATATATATATATATATATATTAGTTTATTGAAATGCCATTCCAGGAAATAGGTTGGACATATCAGCTTTGATTCATGTTATCTGATTGAGAGTGATGCATCTTACCATTGTCACTGCTTTACCATATCACAATCACAATGATACTGATTTTTGGGAAGCAGATGGGCGCTCTTTCTTTCCTCATTGAGGTCTCTGTAGTATGACATATTGGAGTGTACTTACATGATTCCACAGAAAAGTCATAAAGAGGATATAACCATGGCTTCAAATAAAGTAGTTCCATGGACCTCTATCACATCTAACATCAACACTTGAAGTTAAAACTTAAAATCTCTTGTGACAAAATTGGTGTAGATTATTTTTGCTCAGACAATTGTTCTCTTGGGATGGGGAAAATGCCTTTGAGGAGACTATGCACTGCGGCCAAAATTCCTACATAATATACTTTAGTTGACAATCAAATGCTTTGAACAACAACCAACTTCATATTGTTAAAATAAAAAATTGAGCCTATTTTTTTAAATAGGTTTTATTAATAGGAGGCATTGCTTGGTCAACTCGACCTTTCAAACTTGTGACCTATATTTGAATTTGAGGGTAACCACTTCCTGCAAATATAGGTCTATACCTTGTTCATCCTTTCAAGGTCGAATACCTTATACTGTTGTTGGGACCAACATTGTGGCATATTTTTTTATAAGTTATGAAGTAATTTAGGTTATCCAATTATACTGGGCAATAAAATGCTTTATTGGTGTTGTGAGAAAAGTAAGTTGTTTTTTTTTTTTTTTTCAAATATAACCCCCATAAAGTCCATCATGTTTGTGTAGCTATGAATAATAGAAGGCCAGCAGCCTCCTTGTTTCACGTCCCAATCTTGGGTGCTTAGATTTTCGATTACTGGAAAACTTAGTTAAGTTGTGTAACTGGTTGTTGTCAGCATTCAACAACTCTAAAAGTTTGAGTCCATGGGATAACAAGCATGGATTGATCACCTGTTGATGATGAACATCACTTTTTTTTCTTCTTTTTTTTTTTTATAGGTGAATGCTTTGATAGCGGGTGCTGTAGCGGGAGCTGCTGTCGGTGCTGGGTCCCGAAGCTGGAAACAGGTTGCTGGGATGGCTGGTCTTATATCAGCTGTTTGTGCTGTTGCTGATAACTCCAGAACGCATTGAAGTACCTCCTGTAAAAAGTCATTAAGGTGGAAGAGTAAGTTAGATCCTCATAGTCACATACATCAAGCGTTTTCTTTTGGTAAGTAAAATGTTGTGTACACTGTAATGCCTTTTTGAATCTTTTTCCTTCCCCTTGGAATAATATCATAACAGTTCATTGAATTTTTAATTTTTATTTTTTTGGCTTCAGAATAGGGTGACTAAGTTTCTTATATCTTTGTTTTGACTGAAACTAGGCTTGTAATGCTACTGGAAATTATTTTATGATCAGTGAAAGCAATGAAAAGGGAATATATCTTGATTTCTAAACTTTCACATAGCATAGCAGCATAGGTTTGTGATATGCTGGCAGTAAAAATTGTTGTCTTCAATTTATATTTTGTTGGGAGTGAAATGAAGTTTTCATGAAGTTAGTAAGAATATGATGGAAAAAACTACATGGTTACTCTAGTATTCACTTTGTCTAAATGTTTTTCTCTAGAAGTTTATCTTTGTTATTTTTTACCCCAAGAATGCTAGAGACTCACAATCTAGAATTCACAATTCACTCACAATCTAGAATTTACCCTATTATAGCATTTACTCACATGTTAATGGAGTCGTGTCTTTTAAGATTTACACGAGTTACATGAGTTTGTGACAAATAAGAGGTTGACATGCTTTGTTTTTGTTTTTGTTTTTGTTTTATAAATGTCTTTGCATATACTTTGCTTTTTAAGTGTATCTAAAATAAAATTTAAAAAAAAATAAATTATGAAAAGCATATTATTTTTAGTGAATTTTTTTAAATCTCTTTAGATGTATTTTACTTTTTAAGTATATCTATAAATAAATAAAAAAAATTAAATGAAGAAAATTTTTAAAAGTTCATTAAAGATTAAAAAAAGAAAAAAGAAAAAAAAACAAACTGATTATGAAATAATTCTTGAAAACTAAACCAAATACAATAATTCATTTTTCATTTTTTTATTCGTTAAGAAAGAAAAATTCACACTCCCCTTAAGTATATGGGTTGTAACGGTTATGTTTGGTTTGTTATAATGAAAATTGAAATATAATGATTATTTTGTCAAAATAATTAATCTAATATATACTTTGGCAAAACAAAACAAAAAAAATTAAAAATGATTATTCCATTGAGAAGTCAAGAAATAACTATTTTATTTCAATTTAAAATTATTTCAGTTAATCATATACAAGTAATCATCGGTTTAAAATTATTCCAGTTAGTCAAATACAACCTAAGTAATCCCATCCTAAAACTAGTGATAACTCACCTTTACAGTTTTATAGTTTAAAATTCTCAAAGTTTTTTTTTTATTGATACAAGTTTCTAAATAACTAATATTAGGTGTGAAATTTCAATAATTTAATATTGCCACAACATGAATTCCAAATGATCCCAAAAAATGTTGTGCCACAACTAGACTCCTATAATACTGTGGGAAAATATTAGGGACTTATGTGTAGGTTTTACTAAGTAAATTTATTGTTCGATAGATCTTATGATAATTAATGGTATTTTTTTTATCATAAATCATTAAAAAACATTACTAATTAATTACAGTTCAAAAATTTTGTCAAAAAATATCACTAATTATAAGATTTAACAACATTTTAAAAAAATTGTTACGACAAAAATTTGTTAATTTTTAACTTTTAACAACAGTTTGAAAAATTCATCACCAAAAAAAAAAAAAAAACTAATTGTAGTAAGTTTTAGCGACAATTTATAATCGCGACAAAAAAGTTACTAATTGTCAATTTTTAGTGATATATGTAAAAAATGTCACAAAAAATCATTTTTAAGACGATTATATTAGGACTTATTTTCAAATGATTTTATGGAAATTAAGTCAAACTATTATAACATATTAATAGTTTGCCCAAAATATTACTTAATAAACGTCATACTTATGCATATTAAGTATTACATAACACTAATATAAAAAAATCCCATAAAAATAAAAACGCTAATATAAAAATGGAAATAAATACAACTATATGCATTTTTCTAATTAACATTTGGAAAACATTAATTATACATCATTAATGTATTTTTTATCATACATCATTAAAAAACATTACTAATAATTAATTTTCAGCGACAGTTCAAAAATTTTGTCAAAAAATGTCACTAATTATAAGATTTAACAACAATTTTAAAAAATTGTTACGAAAAAAAAGTCATTAATTTTCAACTTTTAAAGATAATTTCAGAAATTCATCATAAAAAAAAAATCACTAATTATAAATGTTGGCGACAATTTATAATCGCGGCAAAAAAGTTACTAATTATCAATTTTTAGTGATATACGTAAAAAATGTCACAAAAAATCATTTTTAAGACGATTATATTAGGACTTATTTTCAAATGATTTTATGGAAATTAAGTCAAACTATTATAACATATTGATAGTTTGCCCAAAATATTACTTAATAAATGTCATACTTGTGCATATTAAGTATTACATAACACTAATATAAAAAAAAAACCCATAAAAATAAAAACGCTAATATAAAAATGGAAATAAATACAACTATATGCATTTTTCTAATTAACATTTGAAAAACATTAATTATACATCATTAATGTATTTTTTATCATACATCATTAAAAAACATTACTAATAATTAATTTTCAATGACGGTTCAAAAATTTTGTTAAAAAATGTCACTAATTATAAGATTTAACAACAATATTAAAAAATTGTTACGAAAAAAAAGTCATTAATTTTCAACTTTTAACGACAATTTGAAAAATTCATCACAAAAAAAAAATCACTAATTATAAGTTTTAGCGACAATTTATAATCACGGCAAAAAAGTTACTAATTGTCAATTTTTAGTGATATACGTAAAAAATGTCACAAAAAATTATTTTTAAAACGATTATATTAAGACTTATTTTCAAATGATTTTATGAAAATCAAGTCAAACTATTATAACATATTGATAGTTTGCCCAAAATATTACTTAATAAATGTCATACTTAGGCATATTAGTATTACATAACACTAATATAAAAATATCCCATAAAAATGAAAACCCTAATATAAAAATGGAAATAAATACAACTACATGCGTTTTTCTAATTAACATTTAAACTCTTTAATTATTAATATTTGTAAAATTTACTATTTATTTGTAATAAATTTTCCAAACTTACACTAAATTTAAATTTCCCCCTTTTTTATATGGATTATTAGTATGCTTATATTATTATTATTATTATTGGGTAAATTTTAGTAACAAATGTTAAAGGCCAATGTTTTGTTATTTAATTTTTAAAGAAATTAGTGAAACATCTCTCCAATTTTTTATAGTAAAAGAGGTTCAATATATTTTTTTCTTATTAATTAAGATCTCTCAATAATATTATTAGAGAAATTTTAGTTCGTCATGGATAAATTCTAAATTTCTCTATGCCGAAATTTCTCTGTGAAAATACTGAAAAACCCTAGCTAGTATAAAAATATTACATGTCTTTTATCGTATAAAATCTTAATATCGGGGATCTTAAACTAAAAATCTCAAAATTTTAACTAGTAATAATAAGGGTAAATTATACTTTACCCCTAATGTAGGACAATTTTCTCATTTTGGTTCCTAACAAAATTATATTATCACTTTGGTCTCTGAACTATCATAATTTTTTTCACTTTAGTTCAATTTTGAACCATTGTTATATTTTTCACATAGCGCCCCACCAAATGGTGCACTCTCAAATTTTCTACTAAACAAATAATTAAATGTCTCACATAGATGTGGGGTACACAATTTGATATTCCTAGCATTATCCGGCTCTCTACAGAAAGACCCTAGCCAAAAACATCAAAGTATAGCAAATAGATATCACACGCTGCTTTTGGACAATGTGGCTAGCAACTAGGGGTGAGCATGGTCCGAATTGGTGTAAAACCAAAATCAATACGTTATCTATGGCTCTTAAAAAATTAAAACCAATCCAATCCGTTTAAATCGTAAAACCAATCTATTAAAAGATGAATTGGATCGGTTTATGATCACTAGGGGTATAATTTTGGCCAAGCCCATGTCGGGTCTTGCGGGTTCCTGTAAAAAATTAGACCGAGTTGGTCCACGGGCCAAACAAACTAGGCCTAGACCCAAGCCCGGGGGTATTCGAGTTTTGGGCGAGCTAGTCCTGGGCTCGGGCTTTGGGAGGGCTTAGACGGGCCTAAACAATTTTTAAATTTTTTTCATCAAAATTTTATTATTTTCCATTAAAAATAACATTGGGCCATGGGGCAAGCTGGGAAGGGCGAGCTTTTGAGTGGGCTTTGAGTGAGTCGATGGGCGAGGCTTCAAAACGATGCCCAAGCCCAGGCCCAAGGCCTCGAACTAGGCTTGGGCCCGGGCCTAAACGCGCCAGACCCACTTCAGGCCACCCACAAGCCACAAGCCATTTTTACACTTCTAAGGACCACAGATTCACAAAATTAAATAACAAAAAAAAAAAACATAACATTTTAATTTCATAAAAATATATACATAGCATCAAACAAAAGCAATAAACAAAAGCAACAAACAAAAGCAATAAACCTGGATACACATTATACAAAGTAGAGTTCTCCTCTGTATTAAAACTAAACATAACATCAAAAAAAAGCAATAAGAAGACTAGTTTTAGACAAAGAAAAACAACAAACAAACAAAAGCATAGCAACAGCAGCAACAAACAAAAGCACAACAGCAGCAGCAATAGCAAATTCCACATCACAGCAAACCAAATCACTTTTCAGCAGTAATGTCGACATTTGTTAGAGCTGCAAAAAAATTAAGGTCAATTTAAAGTAAAAAAAATAACACAATACGTGAATGTAATTTAAATGATAAATTGAAAAACAATGTCATTGAGAGCAATGATTTGAAAATTGAACTGGTGAACGAACCAGAAAAAGGACCGAGTGGACGAGTTACTGGTTCAACTGTTGGGTCGAAGCAATCGAACCATGACGTCACAATTAAAAATATAATTATAAATTATAAACAAATAAAAATATATATAATTACTGAAATAATAAAAAGAAGTGTTGCATAATATTTACTAATAATATTTAATAAAGTCATAATTGATAAATAAATAAAAAAAGACACTAGTTTTAAAGAAATTAAAAAAATTTAACATTCCCTCCAAACAAATTGATTAAATGCTAGATTTAATTTTGGAAGGAAATGAAATTTTCAACTCCCTCTCCAATCAAATATGATTAAAACAATTTGATTGAATCCCACATTGAATTTTTAGGTTATCTTCGAACAAACTTTTTCTACAAATATGAATAGATTTTCATAATTTCTACAAGCTTCCAATGAGACTCCTCCTTATGAGAGGAGACTTGAAGAAAAAGTTTTTAGTCAAAATTTTGATATATATATATATATATATAAGAAAGAAAGAAAGAAAGAGCAAAAGAAAAAAGAAAAAAGGGGTTGGTCGAGAACCGACACCTGTTCACTGATTTTTGCAAATAAGGCCGGTTTTTGGCCTAGTTCGGGTTTAGAGGGTTTTTCGAACCAAAAGAAGGCTCAGTTCAACCGGTTTGTCCGGTTAGGTTTGAAAACATTGGTTGTGAAAGAGAGAGAGATAGAGATAGAGAAAGAGACCAAGCCACTACCGATCTGATCTGAGATAGAAATCTACCGATCTAATCTGAGATGAAATCACAAGAATAGAGAGAGAACACAGTCTGAGAAAGAGAAGAGAGAGAGATGAAAGTGTGAGAAACAGTAGCGTGTGATATGTTGAATTAGGGTTAGGGTTTAACTTTTATTTGGAATACTAAATGATATTATATGGGAGGGTCTATAATATAAATATAGACAATTTGTATACGGTCTAGATCGATTCCAATCTAGAATTGTAAGGTTCAATCCAGAAATCGATTCGTGGCCTACGGATTTTTATACTTTTAATTTGGAACCGAACCACGGATTAAAAAAACCTATTTAAACATATCGAATTGGACTGACCAAATCGGATAATGAATTATATGAATTTCTTGCTTAGTCCTACTACTAGCAACTCAGCATGTTGAGTTGGCAACTTTCCACGTGCTCACATCTATAGTTGTTCCCCATAAAAATAAAGTAAATTACACTTTTACCCTATAAAAGTATGAGCATTTTTTCACTAGTCCTAAAAGAAAAATATGTTACTAATTTGGTTTCTAAACCTCCAAAAAAATTGAACTAATCAAAAATAAAATGGATATTATTAACAGATGCCCTTATGACATAAGTTAAGAACGTTTAAAATTTTTTATATATTTTTCATTATACTTACTTTCGTATAAAATAATAATATTTTTAAGTCAATGTTAACCAAATTTAAATAAAATAATTTCTTCTCTTCTCAACTTTCCACATTATTATCTAATAAAATGTTGTCTTACCATACATTAAGGATTATTTTTGGAAAATAATTAAAAATTAATTTTTTTAATTTATTTTGAAAAAATATATAAAAAATGTAAAAGATAATGTGACTCAAAATAAATTAAAAATTAAAAGATGACTTTTAATATTTTTTCAAAATTTTTGAGAATTAAAAGATGACTTTTAATATTTTTCCAAAATAAGCCTAACATTCACTCCCATTTTCCCATTATCTCCTTTCCCTCTTCCCACGCCTACAATTGAAAACCTTCATCCACGCTACCCATCACTTAAATGAAGCAAAGGGTAATTTATGCAAAATTGTTATAAGTTCTTTAAGAAGAAAAATATTTCAATATATTTTTTCAGTATCTTTATCAAAAAATGACACAAACTTTATAAATTTCAACATAATACGTATAAATTATAACTATATTTTAATCTTAAAATTATTTACACCGTGCCTAAAGGCACGGGCATACGCTAGTATATATATATATAAAATAAAAAAATCATTTAAAATATATTAATTATAAATTTACTAAAATAACTTGTTGTCAAAGGAGCCCCGGCAAAAAAGTCGTTTTATAGTGGGAACTGTGAAATCTCTTGGCTGCGAGACCTTTTTTTAGTCCTCTCTTGACAATAAAGCCCTAAACCGGTGTGAGTGGACTTGAAGCGGAGAGAGCTCTAAACCCTAACCCTGTAAGTAATCTCTCTCATGATTTCTAGGCTCTAAAAATCTTTGAATTTCTTCTATGCATCCATCGTTGAGCTTATTTGAAGAAAAAAAAACCCTAACTTTTTTCAATCATTTTCTGTCTTAAACCCCAGTTTTTCTGTATCCTAGGGTTTTGCGATATTGAACTAACCTTAATGCGTCCTTTGGTGGTTGTTGTTGTTACAGGTTAGGTTCTTTGGTCTGATTCAATATGAGGTATCTTTGACCTTTCAATTTCTTTAGATATTGATTCCTAGGGTTCTGTATGTACTACTATCTTATATATACGTATCGAACTAGGGTTTTGCAGTCTAACCCTTTTTTTTTCTTCTTCTTGTACTGGATCTGATATGTTTACGTGATAATCAGTTGTTATTTGCAATGAATTATGTTACCCACTGGCGATTTATGTTACAAATTTCATATTCACAAGTGGAAGTATGCTTTTATAAGCAATTATCACTTGAAGTTCATGGGGGCATTGAGTATTATGATTTAGTAAGCAAACTACTGGTCATTGTCTTTAAAACTATAAAGGGCAATTTATCAGTACTGTACGAAGTGGCAAAGAAACTAAATGTGCTTTAAGGGAAGATCTCTTTGTCACTTGCCAGTCTAGCCTTACATTGTTACTAGTCTTTTTTTTTTATTTTTTATTTGTTAATGAGCCCATTATCAACTGATATATGGCCATTAGGTGGACACACCAATTGCTAACCCACTATTTCCCCTGTTGTTTCAAGCACTTTTACAACATAACATAGTTACTCTATTTTGACGCCCATAGAGATTTTCATTATTCTTTTCTCATCATTATCTGTTTGTGCATTTGTAAAGTGCAATAATGCAATACTTGTGTTTTACTCAACCAATTGTAAGCCTCTCCTACATTTGGTGATATAACTAGGTAATTTATGTGGGGAAACAAAAAGTACAGAAAACAGAACCTTTTTGTTATCTATGCCAATCTAAGGTGGAATGAATAACCATAACACAAGGATGTAGTACAGTAATTGAATTGTTCATTATGTTGAACTTCTTATTTTTTTGTTTTGTATAACAATTGTTTGCTGCTTAGTTTGTGGACAAAACCGTCGAGCCCATTCTCACTTACTGCTTGTCTGTGGCATAGAACTATTTATTAGTTCATTTTTATTCGATAAACTTGGGTGCAGGTTACTAATTGCATTTTATGTTTATTTTTTGCAGTCGTCCAATGGAAGAGGATGCCACTGTAAGTTGCCCTTTATTATTATTATTATTATTATTGTAGTAGTAGTAGTAGTAGTAGTAGTAGTAGTTGTACTGCTTAGATGGTTAGTCCTCTTTCTTACTTCTTTTTTGTTCAGTAATTTCATCATCTTTTATTATACTTGCAAATATATTTGCGCTTCTTCTTCTTCATCATTATTATTATTAGTAGTAGTAGTAGCAATACTAGCAGTAGTAGTTGCACTGGTTAGATGGTTAGTCCTCTTTCTTACTTCTTTTTTGTTTAGTAAATTTCATCATCGCTTGCAATATGTTTGTGCAATTGAGAATTAGTCTTTCCTTTTCTTTATTAATCTAACTGTCGATATGATGAAGTCTTCTATTGCTTATAAAAACACAAGATATTATTTTCATTGAACGTCAATCAATATGGCTTTGCTAGTTGTTCATTATACATTTGTCTTTTTATTTGTCTGTCACTCTCATGTAACTTATTTTTTAAAATGCTTTTTGAGGGGACCCGATATGATTTCAACTAGGTTTCAGTTAAAGGTCAAATTTGTTTAGGTGTGCTGAAGTTTGTAATTAGTCTTCCCAACTATGGTGTTTGAAAAACATTTTCATGTACTAATATTGATTGGTCAAGATTACTAATACTGTATTAGTACATGAAATAAATGAGTTTATTTATTTATTTATATATATATATATATATATATAGAAAATAATATAAAAGGGGAGGGTTGTTGAAATTGAAAGTAGATTTGGTTAATTTTTTGTTAAAGTGTTTTCATATTTTATTTGCAGGACCCGTTTGTTTTATTCACGATATGGTTTTTACATTCATACACACATGCATACGTGTATAGATACATATACATGTGTTGGACCTATGATCCTACAATCATTTTTCACTTTCCTGTTAAATACTTTTCATTGACATTTTTACTTGCTATATTTCTGTTTTTGTACTCTTCTTATAATACGAAGTTCATAGTGCTCATCGAACTGTTTGCAACAGGCCAAGACAGAAGAAGAGGAATTCAGCACCGGACCTCTTTCTGTTCTGATGATGAGTGTTAAAAATAACACACAGGTAATACAAAATCTTCGTTTCTGTAAATTGGCGTTATTGTTGTTATATTGGTGAAATTTTGAGGGAGGGGCCATGAGTCCTTAAATCGTTAACAAGGGATTGTTATTGTGGCATGTTGAATTTTTTATTTATTTATTTTATTTTTTTTAAAAAATGAAAAAAAAAAAAAAAATCCCCTAGTTCTGCCCTTGGAGCTCTCAATTGTCTAGACATGGGTTGTGAAATCTAGAAGGAATTGTTGTATGTATTTTAATTTGCTTACTTTTTATCACTGGGTTTGTTGTGTATTTGGTTGTTGATGACACATCTGTGACTCGTCTGCAACAATCAGGTGCTTATCAACTGCAGGAATGTTGATGACACATCTGTGACTCGTCTGCAACAATCAGGTGCTTATCAACTGCAGGAACAACAAAAAACTTCTGGGCCGTGTGAGAGCATTCGATCGGCACTGCAACATGGTTCTGGAAAATGTTAGAGAGATGTGGACAGAGGTTAGTTCTGCATCTTTGACAAATCTTGGGTTTTTTTGTTTTTGTTTTTTTGTTTTTTTCCATTTGTTAATTCTATTATGTTGAATACCATGCAAGTTCCACATCTAAAGATTCTAAAGTTTGTGTTTAAATTTTGTGTTTCTTCTCAGGTACCGAAGACTGGGAAAGGCAAGAAGAAAGCCCACCCAGTTAATAAAGATCGGTTCATTAGCAAGATGTTCCTCCGAGGAGATTCTGTGATTATTGTCCTTAGAAACCCCAAGTGAGGTATTTGTTCTATATGGTCTTCATTGATTAAATGGAACAGTTTTAGACTTCAAAATGTGTTGTATTTGTGTTTTGAACTCTCTTTTATGTGCAATTTATGTATTAATGGTAGTTCAATAAATATGATATGTGTTGTCTAGAACATTGAGTTATTCTAATTACAGTATGTCTTGGAACAGCTGGGTCCAATTTAAGTGTTTGTTTTGATTGGTTTGCAACTTAGTATCTTTTGTATTCTGAGTTATTTATGGTGATAAAGCTCGAGCTTGTATGTCCATTGAAGGATGGGTGATTGGGTGATAAGTTGGTGAATTAAATAAAGTTGACAACATGATTGATCTTTTACTCGTTTTGTTGAAAGCACGTTTGGCATTGAGGAATCTGTCCCTTTTTACTTCAAAGACATTTAAATTGATACTCCTTGTATGCCATAGTTGAGTTTGTCGGCATTGGTGACAGAACTATCTGAGTGTAAGCCATACTAAGGTCAACGTTGAATTCTAGGTTTCTTTTGATTGCAACTTAAAAGTCAACTTATTTTTTTGTCTTTAGTGAACTCTTTTTTTATACACTTTTTAGGATCTGTCTAAACAAGACGATCCCAAAAAAAAGGATTTTTTTTTTCCTTATAATAAATCTATTAAAGACAAAAATAAGTGGACTTTTGTCGAATTGCTCTTGCTTAGTTGCTTATTTCATTGTACTTATAGCATAATTCTTGTCCTTTCCATAGATGCATTGCACGACTTGCTTGATCACTATTGATCAGTATTACGAAGTTGTACTTTGAATTTGTGATGGTGTGATTATTATAATAGTACTTGCTTGATGTAGGTATACGTGGCAGAGGTGTAAGAACAGAATTTTGGAGCAGAACAGGGCTTTTAAAGCAAGCTTAGGAGTTGGTTACCTTTGGAGTCTCAATTTCCGGCCTAATGTATTAGGGATTGTACGTAGTACGTAAATCATGGTTGTTGTAGGACTAAAACTTTCTTTTTGTTTGTCATTTCTACTGTTATGTTTTTATCATGCAACTAACTAATGGTTTTTCTTTTAATTCCAACTTATTGACTTTGTTGTTCTTGATGTGCTTGGCCTACAAGCATGATTTCAAATATTCCCACTAGTGGGATAATTACAAGCAGTGAAATTTGTCAAGCTGAGTAGTGTATTGTGTTGCATCTGATAAAAGGGGAGAATATATTTTATGTTTCTGTTTCTGTTGCAAGTATTTGAATGCTTTTCAAGGTTGGAGAGAAATGCACCTATAAAGAATTCGACATGTAAATTTTTTATTTTATTTTTTTGAGAGTAACATGTAAAATTTTAGATGTGTATTTTGGCACTATTGGACAGTAATTGGAGACCCAATTGTAAATTTCATCTTTATTTGAAAAAGAGCCTACTGCAACACATGGAGGACAGGTCGCAGCTGATATATGGTGCCTGTTTTAAATAATGGTATTGGGATATAAATCTGGAGTCAGGAGCCTCTCCTTGCAAGCTTGTGCTTGCGTCTGTCCTTGCAGGCCTTCGGGTCTACTTTTAGGCCCAATTTTAATAATCCGAACCGTTTATATTTTATGATTTATTCAGTATATCATACCTGTAAAAAATCAAGTTGATCGGATATCAGAAAGTATGTGTTTGAAAAATTGAACTAAACACTACTTTTTAAAGAATTTAATAAACAGTTTTCCGAACATATGTTTTCTGATATCCGATCAACTTGATTTTTTACAGGTATGATATACTGAATAAATCATAAAATATGACGGTTCAGATTATCAAAATTGGGCCTAAAAGTAGACCCGAAGGCCTACAAGGACGGGCGCAAGCACAGAAGCTGCAAGGAGAGGATCCTCACTCATAAATCTGTATCAACGACAGTTCAAAAATCTTGATATGTATTGTAGTAGATACTGGCCGATATTTAAAACAGAGTAGGTTGTAGCTCATTATGTGCCCAAACTTGTTTATGATGAGCATATCACAATCTGCAAATATTTTTGCTTTTTTAATGCATTTAATTTATCAGTAACAATGCTGCTCAGATTCAGCAACTTCCAGCCAATGTAGGTTGGTCGTAATTTGGAAGTTTCTGCAGAGATAAAGAGATGTTTGATGTTTTCCTAATAACAATGGTGATTGATGACTGATAGAAGAAGAAAACCGGAAATCTGGTAGAAAGTAACTTGCCAACATGAATTGCACATTTACTATTATTATATAAGTGTAAAAAATCTGTTATATATATATAGATATATATTTAAAAATTCTCATTTTATATTTTCAAATCTACTATATTTTTCAAGTCTTATATAAATTAACTATCTCTTTATTTTTTGAGTTGAATACTCAAAAACAATATATCTGCTTCCAAGAGTCTTATATAAATATAAACAAATTATCTCATTTCTTATCAAAAACAAACACACAAAAAACGGTCATCTTATTTTTTATATTGATCATGATTGAAGAATAAAAAAATAATTATTCTTTCTTATTTTCTATAGCTGCTTTTATATTAATATACATAATATTTACAATTGTCCATCATGGAACAAATCATTATAAATAATTTTGGTTGAATCTTAAAATTGTATGTATTCGTTTGAATCTAAACAGAGAAAAACGCATGCGTTTTTAAAATAGAGATTTGTATTGCATCTCAAAAATTTGCAGGTTATCTTTATATACTTTCTTTTTGTTTAAATTATATTTTATGAACTGTAATATTTTATATGGTATTTTAATAACTAAGGTATAATGTAAAAATTCTAAACAAGAACCACTTGTGTTGGTTTTATTTTTTAAATATGTTTTTCAGTTTTTTATTTTTGATATTTTCTCAAGTTTAGTGATTAAAAACTCTGAAATTGCTTCATATTTTATATTTAAATTAAACTTTTACATGAAAATCTAATATCTAATAATCTAAATAATATTGGTAAAAAAAAAATTATAAATTCAAACATGTACTAATTTTTATTATTATATTTTTGGGAGATGCACCAATAAATCCCAAATCTTTATCTTATGACCTATTTGGTCCTATGTTTTATCTTATGATCCAATTAGTCCCAAGCTAATATTAATGACAAAATAACCAGTGTTACACTATGTTTTGCGCTTTTTAGTAAAGGGTAAATGAGGAAAACCCCAACGTGGTATTGACTGAAATGCCCAAAACTCTGTAGATGTTTGTTTTCCCTCCAAACACATCGTTACGCCGATGTTAATGGCCTTTTTTTTGGTTGGTGTTCATCACCATCAATGACATCAACTACATCACCAACATCACTAAAAAAAATCATAAATATCATAAAAATATCATCAAACATCGTCAACTACATCACCAACATCACTAAAAAAAACTTCATCAAAAAACAACATCAGAAAAACATCAACATCAAACATCAACAAAACATCATCAAAAAACATCAACAACATCAAACTTTAAAAAAAAATCATCAACCATCAAACATTACCAACATTAATCATCAACATCCAGTAATGATTTTGTGTTTTTTACAACATTAGCCATCTCTTTCTGAATTCAGTAATGATTTTGTGTTTTTTACAACATTAGCCATCACCAACATTAGCCATCTCTCTCTGAATCCAGTAATGATTTTGTGTTTTTTACACACCAACATTAGCCATCTCTCTCTGAATCCAGTAATGATTTTGTGTTTTTTACAAAGAAAAAACCCAAGTAGGGATCATCAAATTAGGAAATCATCATCAAATCAATGCTAGACATCATAAACATCAGGGCCATGATCAACATCATGAACATTAGTTCTGATCCACACCGATCCATCATCAACATCAGTGGTAGACTGTCACGACCCAAACCCGGCCCTATGGGTTTAGCACCGTAACCGGCCAGTAATCCGAGATTACCGAAGGCCTGCTTAACAGTAATACAGTAAAACAGAGTACAGGGCCTGGCGGAAGCCAATACAGTAAGTAAATAGTGTCCATTGAGCTGTGACAGTCTGTATGCCAAAAAGATTTTTCATGCATTCATACATACACAAACAGTACAGTCTATACAAAATTTACAGTCACACAGTACAGGGACCTAATCCCTTGATAACAGTACAGTTAGCAACAGACAGTCTATACAGTATGTTTTTTACAACATTAGCCATCACCAACATTAGCCATCTCTCTCTGAATCCAGTAATGATTTTGTGTTTTTTACAAAGAAAAAACACAAGCAAAGATGATCAAACTAGGAAATCATCATCAAATCAATGCTAGACATCATAAACATCAGGGCCATGATCAACATCATCAACATTAGTTCTGATCCACAGCGATCCATCATCAACATCAGTGGTAGACATCATCAACATCAAGGCCATGATCAACATCAAACATCATCATCAAAACAACATCAAAACCCATCTGGGAGACTCCATTGAAGGCCCAATCTAGAACTTGAGAAAAACCCTTCTTTTTTGACCTCCAAAACTTGCAAATCACTTCTACCCATTAATCAGAATCTCGTGAAAAAGGCCTCTGTCTAGGGTTTATAACGCAGACGAATCCATTTTTTTTTCAAGGTTTTGAGAGATTCGAGAGTGATAAAGAAGAAAAAGATTCGATTTTAGGCAAATGGGTATTCAAAAAATCTATTTTTCACAACTGGGTGCTCGAGAAAACTAATGGAATAGATTCGATTTGAAAAGAACAAAGCAAGCAAAGAGTTGTTTGGAGATACAAGATATTCGGGTGATGATAAAAAATAAATGTGGGTTTGAGAGAGAGAGAGAGAGAGGGTGAAGTGGGGGATAGGGTTTTGAAATGAGGAAGAAAAACGAGAACCAGGTGGTGGAACGATGGAAGTGATGGAATCGTTCCGTTCGGGAAAGTTTCGCCGATCCAAACTCCGATCCGGTACTGTACCGGAGGGGCATTAGCCGGTATACGTAGGAGAAGAGATGGAACGTTCAAGATCTGATAGTAGGTATCGACAAGGCTGATGTTTGAAACATATAAACACCCACCCAAAATTATTCAATTTGATGTTTACCATTTTGGGTTGGTGTTACAACAAACATCTTCTTCTCTCTCTTTCGCCATTGATGAATAGTTGCAGAGAGAGAGAGAAATCGCACCCTCAAAAGGGTATTGATGTAAAAATAAATGGAATCAAATCAAACCCTCAAAAATCTGGACAAACATTAGGACCAAATGGTATACAAAAAAACTTAAAGGACTAAATGGTTTAACTTTTTTCAAGATAGGATTTATGGATAATTTTTCCTATATTTTTTTGTTATTATTATATTTAATATTAATAATTTTTCTTCTAACAAGAATACACAACAAATTATTTTCTAAGTATATTTAGATTAAGTGAATCTAAATCTAAAAGTAAATTAAAAAAAATTATTAAATTAAGTGAATCTAAAAAGAAAATAAAAGGGTTATTAAAAAAAACAGTGTAAAGACAAAAAAAAAAATATGAAAATCAAAAAAATTCAAAGCAAAAGTTTGAAAAAATAAATTAAACAAAACACTATAAATTTCTCTTTTTTTAAATCTTTTTCCACTAAGACCATCTCCAACCGTTCACCAAATCCATCATCAAATTTAAATTTGATAAAATAGATGTGCTTTTTGTGCTCCAACGGTTGCACTAAAATAGTATCAAATTGAAAAAACATCAAACGTTTCACCAAACTGAGGATGACTTGCCCCTTTCAGCAATTCACTGTGCATAGCCATTGAGTTGAACCCACCAGACAACCAATCGGATGTCCCTTCGAATGACTGCTTTATAGCAAAAATTTGTGAAAATTTACATTGACAGGTCGACCACCTCAGCACCTCCATTATCAAGCACCTCTCTCTCTCTCTCTCTCTCTCTCTCTCTCTCTCTCTCTCTATGTGTGATTGAAGAGTATCCATCAAAGAACACCATATTCCTTCATTTTCCCTGTAGGTCTAGAGAGAGACAAAGAGTGAGGAGAGAGAAAGGAGGAAAGGAGGAGCAGTGGAGCTCATATAATTAAAACCAAAATGCAAGCCATCATCATTTTTTTCTCTCAAATGCGTTCAGAGGGAACACTTCAACAGTGGTGCATTTGCTCTTGCCGGTTGACCGGTAGGACGACCGGTGGTTTGTTGATAGCTTTGTT